AAGATAGGCATTATGTTGTTGAAGCCATGACAACCAGGGACAAATAGAGTTTGGCAAGCATTTGACAGAGAGGGCACACAGTTGGAATCACCCAGAGCCTCAGTTCCCTCATCCATGGAATGGGGATGGCACCAGTCATAACCATCTCGCTCAGATAAGAAGTCCAGGAGGCAGAACTTCAGAGACAATGGGGTCTGGTGGGGGTCCTGGGCAGGATCAGAGCACAGCGCAGGCCACCCCTCCTCGTCCTACCCCCAAGAGGAACTGAGCCCACCTGAGGCCCTCGTTTGTGACTCCTGCTACTCCCTCCTGAGTGTCTCCCACCCCAGCTTTCTCATGCTTTACACACCACAGAAGCAAACTGAGGTTCTCCCAAGACTCCTCCAGCCTCCCTACCCTGAATCAAATGTCCTCGGTACCTCCTATGAGGAACTTGATCATCTCTTACTTCCAAATCTGCCTCACTCTTGCACAGTCCTCTATTGCCCAGCTAGTTCTGATTTATCTTGGGGGCCACCTCCTCCAGGAAGGCTCTCCTGAGCTCATGCCAGGTGCAGGACACCAGCCTCTGAGCACCTGAGTCCTCTGGACTCATCAGCCCCACATCGGACTGACATGCTCTGCGCAGATGGTCTCTCCAATTAGACTGGGAACAACTTGAGAGTGGTTGAATTGTCGCCCACTGCCGAAATCCCCTCAGGTGATCAACAAGCAGTGTCCAGAGGATACTTACAGAACTGAGCTGACCACTAGGAGGGCTCTCACAGGCCCAGGGGCAGGTGAGCCAGGTGTGCTGGAAGGAGATGGGTGATGTGTGAGGGACAGGGAAATTATGTATGGGTGGGGTTCCGGAGGTCCCATGACTCACGCAAACCAGAACGTGAAGTTTAGTGAGGATGAGTTCAAAGTCCTGCTTCCTGGGGTCTCAATGAGATTTTTAAAGAGGAAGTGTGGGACCTAAAGAAAAGACTCCATTTTGTACTTTGGCCAGAGCACGTCCCCCTGCTCCAGGAATTTGCCAAGTCAGCTCGTGCTGCATGAAAATAACCCCCTACTCCTAGCAAGCAGTAAGAAGTAGATAAACATAGCAGACAATTCTAGGCCGGATGATATATGTTTTCCTTTACCCTAACCCAGTAGCTCAGGCTGCCAGTAATGACCAATCAGATTGTAACACTCCATACTTTGCAAAATATAAACCAATCCTGGAATAGCTAAACTGAAAGCCCCGGAGCCTGCTTGTAGCCCCTATAAAAATCCCACTGACTAGGAGTTCAGGGCTTCAGCCTAAATCCGCTGCGTCGGATGTGGATGGGGTCTGAGCTCGAGCTTGAATAAACAACCCTTGTGTATTTGCATCGGCACCGGCTCCTTGGTGGTCTTTGGGGACCTCGAAATCTGGGCATAACAAAAGGAGGTTGACAAGTGACAAGGCACATGGGAAGGGACACTGGCCACCCCTCCTCTGGGAGTATGAAAATCTGCAGGCTTGGCACCTCCTTCCCGCCATGATTGTGAGTGGGTGGCTCCAGGTGGTCCCCAAAGTCCTTCAGGCTCTAGAGGGACAAGAAGTCATGGCGATCATAAGGGAATAGGGTCACTCCGTCACCCATGCAGCATCAGGGGCACAAATAAGACACTAGCACAAGCGTGTACCATGACAGGTGCTACAAAGGAGCATGGGGCTACCAGAGCCTCCGAGACTGGAGCTTGAGACCCAGTCCAGGTGAGCAGGGCACCTCCGTGAGGGAGTGATTAAGCTGAAATCTGAAGCAGGAGTTCACGGTAAGAGAGCCAGGAAGAGCACTGTTCAGGGGGAAACAGTGTCTGCAGAGGCCTAGAGATGGGAAAGACTGTGGGGGGTACTCAGGGGAGCTGAGGTAGCAGAGGACCCCAGACTGAGAAAACACAGAGGAAGTTGACATTGAGCTACACACCTGTCCCCTGCAAAACCATGGACTTGGGTTCAGCCCCCACCTGACCTCCTCCCAGAGAGTCCAACTGGCACCTTGTACCGGAAGCAGCATTTGACGCATTGAGGGCCGTTCAGCTGGTAACACAGGTAGGCATCCCTTGGAGGGTGGCGCTGTTTGATCTTGTTCTTGTTGTTAAATTGTGTGTAGAATATATCTCTCGTCAGCAGATCCATTGTGTTACTGTGCAGCAAGAAGGAAATGAAAGATGCAGACAGAGATGTCTTCTGGAGCCACCTCAGTTCCCCCACAGGCCCTGGAGGACTAAGGGAGGGCCTCTGTTTTCTTTGTTAGCCAGGAGGATTGGGGGTGCTAGCAAGATCAGCAGGAAGGTGAGCGCTCTCATTTTGCACCCCACCACTTACTAGACTTACCCCGTTGTGCAGGTCTAGAAATGCCACTAGCCTATTTCTAGTGACACATGGACACATTACTAATTGCACCATGAAAAACCACTTCTGGCATCTAGTATGTTAACGAACAAAACCATTAGCTTCATTTCTGACACCCATCACACGGCTTAGTAAAACTTCTGGTGGGTCTGGATGCAGATTGCTGAAGAGCATGCAAGTGCCATCTCTAGACAGTGACCTTGGACTAGTGGCCAGTGGCCCCTATCAGAGTGTAAACTTCCCATTAGGACAACTGGTTGCCCTCGGAGTGAGTATTAAGAAAGACTTGTGCTCTGGGAACCCTCTCAGTCTCAGGAGAGCTGGGATGCTCTGGGTTACGTGTTTTATATTACAGCAAATCCTCTCTGATTAGCACCCATCTTTTAGCATGTCCTACTGTGGTGGCTAGTGTGTTGCCGTGATACTGGAATCTATGCTACTGGTATTTCAAATACCAGCGGTGTCATCCATGGTGGACAGATTTCATCAGAGTTTCTAGAAGAAAGGCTTGATGATCTATTTTTGAGAAGTTGTTGTTGTCGTTAGGTGCCTTTGAGTTGGTTCTGACTCATAGTGACCTTATGCACAACACAACAAAACACTGCCTGGCTTCACAATCATTTCTATGCTTGAGCCCATTGCTGCTGCCACTGTGCCTCTCCAACTCGTTGGGGGTCTTCCTCTTTTTCGCTGACCCTCCACCTTACCAAACATGATGTCCTTCTCCAGGGACTGGTCCCTCTTGATAATATGTTCAAAGTATGAGAGATGAAGTCTTTGAAGGAGCATTCTGACTGTATTTTTTCCAAGACAGATTTGTTTGTTCTTCTGGCAGGCCATGGGTCTTTCAATATTCTCCTCCAACACTATAACTCAAATGCATCAATTCTTCTAAGGTTTTCCTTATTCACTGTCCAGCTTTCACATGCATATGAGGTTATTGAAAATACCATGGCTTGGGTCAGGCACACCTTAGTCCTCAAACTGACCGCTTTGCTCTTGAACACTTTAAAGAGGTCTTGTGCAACAGAATCACCTAATGCAATACTTCTTTTAGTTTCTTGATTTCTACCGACCTTTTCTTCCCTGTCCCTTTCCCTGCCTCAGCTTTCAGGTCCCAAGAGCAAGCCCTCTGCATCCCTGCAGAGAAGTGAGAGGCTTGAGGCTGTGGGTCTTGAGGGCTGGGTACGTGGAAGGGTCAGCAGTCTTCCCTAGGTCTACGCTGGACATTGTCATGTGTCACTGAAGGGGTAGGTTGTTGTTGTTACGTGCCATGGAGTTGGTTCTGACTCATAGCGACCCTGCACAGGGTTTCCGAGGCTGTAAATCTTTACGGGAGCAGAACACCTCATCTTTCTCCCACGGAGCAGCTGGTAGTTTTGAACTGGTGACCTTGTGGTTCACAGCCCAATTCGTAATAATTTCCCTCCCTCGCCATCTGCCTTCATTTCTCCTGCTTTGATCTCTTCTGAGTCCTCCCTCAGTGACAGTTATTATTTTTTTCCTTCATTTTCATAGAAGTGCAGTTCTATCAGACATCCGAAAGGGGCATGGACACCAGAACCTGAATTCTTAGGCTTTGCAGCCAGAACTTACTTGAAAAGCTTATCATTAGAACTATTGGATTCGTTGTGTGTAGGTGAGCCTTTGACAGAAAGAAAGAATGGGGCGGAAGCTGCCTGATTGCTGAGTGGACGGACTCTGACTTTTCCCACCTGGGAAAGTGTGGGCAGTCAGAATTCCTCGGGATTTTACCCTTCTGTTTCTCCTGCTTTATGCAACCTCCCACTAAACAGTTTGCAGTCCTGATGTGGCGCTGTGGGATAAAGCACTAGACTTGCGATTCAAACTGACTTTGAAGTCCCGCGCATTAACCCACAAACCGTACCAGGACTCCTGCCTGGGTGACCCTGCTGGTATTTAAAATACTGATGTCATAGCTTCCAGCATCACAGAAACACACAGCCACCTATGAAAACCCTGTGGGTCACAGTAGAACATTGTCCTTTCGCCTACTTTGGACATACCATCAGGAGGGACCAATCGCTGGAGGAGGACATTGTATTTGATGTTCTAGTGAGGGCGAGGGAGGAGCTCAGTGAGCTGGATTAGCACAATAGCTGCAGTGATGATGTGCAACATGCTGGTGACCATGATAAGCACTCTATTCTGCTGTTGCGTACGTCTGCATGAGTTGAAGTTGACCTAGCGGTGACCTCTATCTATCTACCTCTATCTATCTACCTCTGCATCTACCTATCTCTATATCTATCTGTATGTATCTGTCTATCTGTCAGTCTGTCTGTATATCAGTCAGTCAGTCTGTCTGCCTATCTATCTATCTCTGCATCTACCTATCTCTGTATCTATCAAGCTATCTTCTGCAAAGTTGATTTGAACTTCCAGGTTGGTGGTTCAAGCTCACAAGCTGCTCTTTGGAAACCCTGTACAGGATCATTATGGATCAGAACCGACTCAACAGCACTTAACAACAACAACAAAGACTTTACTGAGCCCTGGTGTGGCACTATAGGGCAAGCACTGGACTGCTCACCTCAGTGTCGGCTGTCCAAACTCACCAGCCACTCTTGGAAACCCTATATAAAGTAGCTATGACTTGGAACCGACTCAATTAAACTTTTGTTTCCTCCTGCTGCCAGTCATGTGATGGCAGAGGATGGCTTGCCCAGGAACCCACCTGGCACCTTGAGTGTAGTTAACCTCCTCCCATTATATTCTTGCGGTTTTAATTTCTGTGATCACAGGAGCTAGGAGCTCACTTCCTGTCTTGTCTGGTACAGATCAACTGTCCAGCTTCCTTACATTGCCCTGTCGGATTCCCAGGGACTTTTTATTCTGCACTTTCAAAGGTCTCATGATCCCAGGCCTCATTTAATACAATTTTACTGTTTTCTAGGAGTCCTGGTGTACTGCTGTAGGACAGCTAACTGCAGGGTTGATAGTTCAAACCCACCAGCCACTCCTCAGAAACCCTATAGAGTGTTTCTGTGAGTCAGAATCAACTTGATGGCACTTAACAATAACTATTTTCTAAATACTTGTTCCAATAGAACTTGGGCCGTAGATGTTTCTTTATGTTACTTTTGACCTCCATTCCCAGTTACCTCAGTACAGAGTAGATGATGGGGAGCAATTTTGAAATGGGATAAAGGACGAGCAGAAGAGAACATTGGGGTGTTGCTGAGGGACAAGGTAGAGGAGAATGAGGTGGGACCCGAGGGTGCTGGAATGGTTTGGCATATGACCAGAAAAGGGCAGGAATAATCTAGAAGACAACAAAGGAACTTGGGTGCCAAGTCCTCCCATACCTGCTCATCTCAAACTTTTCCACCAAATGTCCTTGTTCTATGATGATTCAGTCTGTCTTGAAAGCTGTATCTCTAACTTTCCGATTTCCCTACTTACACACGTTCATGCCCTGTGCTTTCAGTTTAACGACAAGATTTGGTTAATCTGACAAAATGGCAGAATCCAGGGCAGGGAGGCTCTGTGAGACCCTGGGAGGTGAAGGAGGTAGGAGGGGAAAGGAGACCCTCCAAGGAGAAGGGAGCAGAGGGAATTGGGGTGAGAGCAGGCAGAGGGGAGCACCTTGGGGGGGCTGAGAGAAGGAAGGCAGGACCAGGAAGGAGGTGAATCTGGTTAGAGACAAAACAAAACTCAACTGGTAAGGGCAGGAAATAGCAAGAGGGACACAAACCAGAGGCAACTCCTTACCTGTGAATGTCATTAAGTTTAGTGGTCCATTGCTCGTAATTTTTAACCAGATGACTCCATGGCTGGAGTGATGTTCCCTGGTGGTTCACAAAGCTCATCCAACAATTTTCAAAATCTGAGGTAAAAAAAACAAAAACCCTAGTGGCACAGTGGTTAAGTACTCAGCTGCTAAGCACAAAGTCAGCAGTTCGAGCCCACCAGTCGCTCTTTGGGAGAAAGATGTGACAGTAAAGATTGTTACTGTTGTTGTTAAGTGCCACCAAGTCGGTTCCAACTCATAGTCACCTTGTATAGGGTTTCCAAGGAGCAGATGATGGGTTTGAACCGTCGATCTTGTAGTTAGCAGTTCAGTACTTATTCTACAGTGCCACATAGCTTTGGGGCACCTATGTGTTCCCCATATGGGAAACCCAAATGAGGGCAGCTGCACTCTATCCTATAGGTCTGAGATGAAAGAGGGACAGAGGAGTCAGTTCCTTGAAGGCTATACAAGGGACCCTCCTCTGCCTTCCTCAAGACCCAGATTCTGTCTCAGCCTTTCCTGCTCCCCACACAGAAACTCTTGGCTGGCATTCCAGGTCCATCAAGCCCTCATCCTGGCCCCTGGGCAGCCCTGTCCCTGCAAATCCCAGACCATAGCTCTAGGGCAGCTCTCACCTTCTTGGCTCATGATTTTGATCTGGGCCTTGGCCCGCCATAGCCTGTGGAGCCCAATGTGGATCTCTGGGCAGTGGAAGTAGTAGGGGTAGGCGGCGAAGATGCTCAGGCTTATTTCGTTGTGTGACTCCAGGAACATAGCCACCTGGACTGCACATTTGAAACAGGGGATCCTGGACAAGTACCATATGACCTGGTAGCGTTCTTTGGGGGGCAGCTGACTGGAGGACCACCAACGGAGGCAAAGCAATTCTGCATGACAGGTATCAGGGAAGCCCTGGGAGAAATGGAGAGGGACAGGGTGGGATGAGGATGGGGGAGGGGCTGGGAGGTGTGTGGGTGGAGAACAGTCAGTACCTGGGGGGGATGAGTGACCAGAGAGGAAGAACCCAGGCAAGAGCTCAAGGCTCACCTTATTCAGAGGTATTCTTTCGCGCCTCCCTCCCCTCTTTTCTTCCTTTATTCATCATTGCCCACATTCATTCATCCATTAATCTCGCCATACATTCTTTTAACAACCACTCTGAGTTCTGCTTGTGGCCAGCCTTGATCCCTGCTTGCTGTCTGCTGGAGATGGCCATAGAAATGCACTGTCCTTTAGGGGTGCCACTGGAGGCAGCTATTGAGTACTTGAAATGTGGTCCCTCTGAATGGAGACATATGGTAAGTATAAGATATACCCCTTTTTTCAAAGATTTAGTGTAAAAAATACACATATATATAAACTGTCCCATGAAAATTTTTCATAGTAATGATGTATTGAAATAGTATTTTAAATACATTGTTGTTGTTGTTAAATGCCGTTGAGTTGGTTCCGACCCACAGCAACCCTGGTTTCTGAGGAGCAGCTGGTGGGTTTGAACTGTCAACCTTGTGGCTCGCAGTCCAATGCTGATCTTACAGTACCACAGCAGAAGTCCTGTAGTGTGATAACTACCTGATTTTTAAAGATTTCACAGAGAAGCAACTCAGGTGAGGGCTGTGCCTCTGTTTTCACTTGGCAGAACAGGTAGGTAGTTTTCTGGTTACGCCAGGCAGCAAAGTGGGATGTGAATGTATTTGGATCTAACAGCTCCATTGGTTTCCTGTGGGTAGATGGGAGAAACAAAATATGAAGAATTCTCTCTGGAGCTACCACATGCTGCTGTTTCCTGCCCACACTCCTCTGGACCTACCTGGGACCTGTGCCTGTGGTCACCCCTCAGCCCCCTCCCTGCAGAATTTCCTGCTGGTTTAGAGGGCGGGAAGACAAGGGAGAGAGGAAGAGAAGGGAATGCTGTCTGGGCTTCAGGGATGAGTGACCTCTCCCACCTTGGGCTCCAGCTCTGTTCCTTCCAATAGGATCCGCCTTTACCCCAACTGTCAGTTTTTCTGTCCACCTATTCCTAATCCATTAAAAATATTAAAAAGCTCTCTACCTGAAACAAACACTGTGACTATTTCAGCTCTGCTAGCGTAGTGGTTACGAATCAGGCTGCGAACCGCAAGGTCAGCAGTTCGAAACTATCAGCTGTTCTGTGGGAGAAAGATGAGGCTTTCTGCTCCCGTAAAGATTTACAGCCTCAGAAACCCTGTGCAGGGTCACTATGGGTCGGAACCAACTTCACAGCACATAACCACCACCACCACCACCATGCTTCTTACCTATGCACACTTTTGTTGTTGGTGTGTTTGTCTGTTTTTAAGTTGGTTTAATGTTTATACTGACAGAACTCTGGAAGGTGTGGACTACTGTTCTAAGTGCTTTATATAAATACAAATTGAATAAGAAGAAAAACCAAGTTAATTTTCCCTGATGCAAAAAGGAGAGAGACTTGGTGAGAGGTGACAACAGTGCCTTAGCCATCAAAGCAAAGACCCCCACCCCGTCACCTCCAAATTCAAGAGTAACAGATACAAATGACAATCTTGGAAACCTGGACATCAGATGAAACTATAAAGGATTAGATCAAACACTAACTGGAAAAAGAAACAGATAGAGAAAGATGCTGGTGGTGGTTCTGTGCCATGGAGTCAGTTCCAACTCACAGCGACCCTGTACAGGGTTTTCGAGGCTGTTAATCCTTCCCTGAGCAGAAAGCCTCATCTTTCTCCTATGGAACAACTGGTAGTTTTGAACAGCAGGCAGACTCGTAACCACTATGCTACCAAAGCTCCTTGGATAGAGAATGACTTCTGAGAATAAATAGGAGGGGTGGGGCTGTCACAGTGTGGTCATCTTGAGACAAAGCCAGCAATGAACCCAAGTGAGGAGCATTGGAAGGCAACTCTACAGAATTCCCAAGAGGTGACCGAGAAACCTGTAGACACACCTGAGTGAAGCAAGGCAAGCTACATGGACTGGACCTAAGAAGTGAAAGTATGAAAAGGAGAGTGAGAGTTCCGGGGATCCTGGTCCTCAGAGCTGAGTGGGAGCCAGGAGCCAGAGATAGGTTGGGTGGTAGCGCCGTGAACATGAAGCAATGTACTCAGAGTGTCGGCAGGCTTCCCACTTGACCTGCCCAAGTCTGTCCTGACCCTCTGAGTAGCCAGGAGTAAACCTGACCCCCACCTGATGCACTACGGTGTGGGGAACACTCCTGCACTCCCAGCCACTACCCTGAATCCAATGCTTCCTCTTCATTCCCCACCCAACAACAGAAGTGTTCTCACTGACTGCCCAGCTGAACGTCTACCCTATTCCACCCCGACCCACCAAGTAGCAGGGAACAAGCCCATACTCCTAGCCACTGTTTGGACTCCTGGCAAGTCCATCACATATGGCCAAGCAGTGGGGGACTGTTTTGCACTCACAGCCTCCCACCTTGACCTCTGCCTGAGCCCATCCAACAAGCAGCAAGGAAGCCTTCCCAGGCCCTCAATCACCCACTCCAATCCCCAGCCCAAGTCCTTCCCAATTCACCAAGTGGTGGGAAAGCATTGCTGTCTTCCTAGCCATCTAATTTGAACCTGCTATTCATAAGGTTTTCAGTGACTAAATATTTGGAAGTAGTTCGTCTCTTCTTCTTCCTAGTCTGTCTTCACCTGGAGGCTCATCTGAAACCTGTCCACCGTGGATGACCCTGATGGTATTTAAAATACCTGTGGCATAGCTTCCAGAATCACAGCAACTGACAAGTCACTGCAGTACCACAAACTGACAGATGAGTGGAAGAAGCAGGCAACAAATCAAACAACGTATTGCATTAGGCAAATCTGCTGCACAAGACCTTTTTAAAGTGTTGAAGAACAAAGATGTCAGCTTGAGGACCAAGGTATGCCTGACCCAAGACATGGTATTTTCAATTACCTCATATGCGTGCGAAAGCGGGACAGTGAATAAGACAGATCGTAGAAAAATTCATGCATTTGAGGTATGGTGTTGGAGGAGACTATTGAAAGTGCCATGGGCTGCTAAAAGAACCTACAGATCTGTGTTGGAGGAAGTGCAGCCAGAGTGCTCCTTGGAGTTCATGATAGCCAGACTTTGTCTCTCATATTTCGGACATATTGTCAGGAGGGACCAGTCTCTGGAGAAGGATATCATGTTTGGTAACGTGGAGGGTCAGAGAAAAAGAAGAAGACCCCTAGCAAGATGGATTGGCCAAGTGGCAGCATCAATGGGTTCAAGTATGGCAACAATTATGAGGTTGGTCCAGGACAGGGCAGTGTTTCATTCTGTTGTGCATAGGGTCGCTATGAGTTGGTACAACAACAGAACCTATCCTGACCCATTAAGCGCTGGGTGACTGTTCCAGAATCTCAGACCACCTGAATCAACCTCTGCCCAAGCCCCCCCGCCCACAAGCCCTCAGAAGTGGGGAAGCACTTCTGTGCTTCTGGATATGCACCCCAAACCCTGCCTGGACATGCACCAACTCACCAGGGAGCATTCCCATGATCCTGAATGTACATCCCAATCCCTGCTCTCCTGCATTCCTGTCAAGAAGTGGGGGTGAATTCCGGTGTTCCTAAATACTGGCCACACTCCCTGCCTGCTGACCTGCCCAACCGGATTAGCCACTGGACCAATGCTGGCCAGTGCCTGCCCAGCTCCCCCTCAGATGTTTTGCATGTGTGGAGAACAGTAACAAGGGCTCACAGTGTCTGCTGCTGCTGCCTTGCTCATCTGGAGACAGGAGGTGGGCACTCCTGTTCTGCTAGAGAAGCCATTAACGAAGCGTGTGTGATAGAGGAGTCCTGGTGTGGCGCTGTGGAGTAAACATTGGGCCACTAACCATAAGATTGGTAGTTCAAACCCACCAGCTGCTTCTTGGAAGCCCTATATGGGGTGGCTAGGAGTCAATGGCAGTAACACCAACAATAAATCAGAACAGAAAGAAATAAAATATCAAGATGAAGCAAACAGGTATAAAACCAATGAACAATAATGTCTCAAAGACGGCAGACAATATCAAATCATATAAAGAAACAGGACAAGGTGGCTCAAGTAAATAAGCAAAGAAAACCTCTCAGAGGAACAAAAGGTAACTTGATAAGGAATTCAAAAACTTATGTAGGATCTTCAAAGAGATCAAAGAAAATGCAGACAAAATCAAGGAAAATACAGACAAAAACCCTAGAAGAATTCTGGGGAAAAAACAAAACAAAAGAACATAAATGAAAACATAGAAAAAAAAAAACCAACCTAGAAATTAAAAATATTAACAATAAAATATCAGTAATTGATAACTCAGTGGAAAGACATAGAAATAGAATTGATGAAAAAGTTTGCAATATTGTGAGGATTACCAAACAGTGACACAGAGAAGTGAAATGAGCGCAAGGTGTTGGGAAAAGGATACCAGGGGACTTGCTCGATGGTAAAAACTTGGTAAAAAGTGCTGTATCTGTGAAGCACAATAAAGCAAAGCTCTCTAAAATGAGGGATGCCTGTACACACAATGCGATACCATTCAATGTTAAAGAAGTCTGAAGAATCTGCAAAACGTAGCATGCATGCTTGAACCTGGAGGATGTTGTTGTTGTTGCTCAGTGTTATCAAATCGGTTCTGACCCACAGTGACCCTGTATAGGGTTTCTGAGGAGCGGCTGGTGAGCTTGAACTGCTCACCTTGCGGCTCAAACTGATTTTGCAGTCCAGCGCATTAACGCGCAGTGCCATACCAGGACTCCTGGAGGGCATTATGCTGAGCGAAATCAGTCAAGCACATAAGAACAGATATTGTATGAGACCACTATTATAAAAAGTCAAACAAAGGGCTACACACTGAAAGAAGCATTATGGCTACCAGGGACGGGGGCGGGGGCGGAGGGAGGGAAGGAGGGAAAACCACT